ATCCGGCCCCGCCCGGGGCGGCTTGGCCCCTCCCCAGCCGGTCGCGCCCCCTCCCCCGCCATCCTCAGCCGCGCCCCCTCCTCATGTGCCTCCCCTCCTCTGCCCCCGACCCGGTCTCCTTCCGGCGGTTCTCGGGCTACCCTCCCAGCTGCTGCTCGACCTGCTTGTTGGCGGAGGCGGCCGGTTGCGGGCGTTCGCGACTTGCTCTCTCATGCTGGCGGCCCCCTCGTCTCCGGCGGCCCTCCCCCTCCCCATGCCACGGTGGTGGCTCTTGTGTGGTGGCAGCATGGTGTACGCGGTTGGGGCGGACTTGGAGCCCTTCGCGGCGGGTCTTTGCTGGTGTTGTTCCGGCCCCGGCGGCTACAGGCCCGCGTCTCTCCGGTGCCCTTTGCCGCCGGTGTCCTCCACCGGGATGCTCCGGCCCGGCGGCTGGGTAGCTGCGCCCCTTCCAGCTTACCTAGCCCGCCGAAATCTCGACGGTCAAGGCCACGACAGCTCGGCCTGCGTGTTCCAGCCCTTGCTCGCCGGCGTCGCTGAAAGCCGTTATGGCAAGACCCCCGCGTGGTTTGCCTCGTCCGCCCTACCATGTACACCTTAAAGCCCCCTCCTTTTGCCATCTCCGGTGCTCCTGGGTGCGGTGGTGGTGCCACCCTCCGAAGGCAGGTGCAGCCCGACCAACCCCTCCACGACTTGGCGACTCCAATCAGCATTGGCTCCCCCATCTATGATTTCGGATTCGGCGGCTATGGGATCGCTCAGCTTCAGGCCAGGGAGAGATCCCTACTCGGCTCACCGGTGCTGGCAGCGACGGCGCCCGCGGGTGTCGTTTTCCTCCATGGAGGCGCTGCCAAGGCCTTCTTCAGCTGCGCCCCTCTTCGAGCTCAGGGGAAACCCTAGGTCCGGGTCTCCCGGACCAGATAGTGACGGAGCCTCGGCGTCGTTCTCCTTCTTGAAGGCACTATCTTGCTTGCTCGCGGTGTCCCCGGTCTTGGCTCGCATGATGTCGGAGTTCTCGTTGGTTTGGTAGTGCCGCTCTTAGCTCGGGTTTGGTTGGTTTAGCTGTGATGTTTTCTTGTGTTTGGGCCGAGCATCCCTTGTCTCTCTGCTCCGGGCACCATGTTCACGCCTGCGTTTGTGTCATGTGTTGTACCCCCTGTACTCATTCTTCTTCTTCTATCAATGGAATGATACGCAAGCTTTGCGTATTCGCGAAAAAAAAAGAGCAAGAAGCAGTTCAGATTGATGTGGTCGGTCTTTGCAGATTGATGACTGCAAATAAATTAGGGTGAGATGTATGATGAGGCCATCAAAGTCTTGTAAGGACGTTGGTTGTATATTTGTATGGTTTTTGTTTTTTTGAGAATACTCCAATCTTGTGTTGGATCCTGAGTTCATATTTTTTTTCTCAGACAAGGATCATGAGTTCGTTTTTTTTAGACAAAGGATCATGAGTTCGTGACAACAGGCGAACGAACGCGGGCCCAACACTTGTTTACTTTGTCCAATCAGGGCCCAAGCCCAACCAATTCTCTCTACAAACAATTAGGAGCGAACTCAACCCGCTGCTAGCCTGCTACCAGTACGTCCATCGTAGCTAGGTCTTCCTGGCGGCCGCGGATGAACGCCGCACTGGATGCCGCCGGAGCGGCCCGCCGTCGCAGCCCACGCCTCCATCCCCAGGTTCAGGCAAATGAGGAGGGAGCCGGAGTGAATCTCCGGCGCAGCCCTCGCCTCCATCCCCTAATCCACGCGAGTGACGAGGGCGACGGAGTGACCCGACGCCGCAGCCCTCGCCTCCATCCCCAGGTTCAAGGAGTGGCTCGCCGGTGCAGCAAGCGCCTCCGTCCCAAGGTCCACGCGAGTGAGGAGGCATCCGGAGTGATCTGCAGAAGTAGTCGCCGCAGCCGCAGCCGCAGCTCGCAGGCGCTGGCCTCGCCGCTTGAAGACGACGATCTCCTGTGGGAAATCCTGCTCCGTGTCCCGCCGCTGCCCTCCTCCCTGCCCCGCGCCTCCGCCGTCTGCAAGCGGTGGCGGCTCGCCACCACCGACCCAAGGTTCCACCGTCGCTTCTCCGCATTCCACCAAAAGACGCCCCTCCTCGGTTTCTTCGGGAATAGCGCCGATGGTATCGTGTTTATACCCATCCTCGACACTCCTGACCGTATCCCTCCACAGCGTTTCGACCTGCGACTTCACGGCATTGACAGCGGCAACTGTTTCAGGGTCCGACTGCTTGGGTGCCGCCACGGTCGTGTTCTCATCATGCTCACATTGCAGCAGGAGCTTATTGTCATTGCCCCCATGACGGGCGAGGAGTGCCGTGTGTCCATTCCACCGCAGTTCAATAAACGGTATGTCAACGGGGCGGTGCTCTGTGCTGCTACTGATCGCGACCATGTGCACAGAAACTGCCACTTGAGCCCATTCAAGGTGGTCTTGCTATCCACGAGCACCTACTATAGTGGTCCACAACTCATCTTAGCATCTGTTTACTCTTCGAAGGCTGGCATATGGGGCGACGTCGTCTCAACTCCGACTCCATGTGAGCTTCCTGGTGGCGGTACTCATGGGTCACTAGTTGGTAATGCACTTTACTGGTTGTGTAGAGATTACATGATTGAGTTTGATTTGGATGGGCACATCCTAGCTTTGATCAGTGCTCCTCCCACTATAGATGAGGCACGTCACTTTTTTGACATGCGTGAGGTCATCCAGATCATGGATGGCGCTGTTGGTATCGCTATATTGCCTCACTATTACCATAACATTCAAATGTGGCAAAGGAAGGTCAATTGTCAAGGTGTTACCAAATGGGTGTTGTGGAAGACCATTGACATGCATAAAATTGATGGGATCCCCCCTGGGGTTAAAGGAGAGAGGCCAGGGTTATTATTTAGACTGAGATATGCTGAGGATACTGATGAAATATTTCTATATGTGGGCCACAATGTATATATAGTTCAACTGAAGTCAATGCAATCGAAGAAACTTTGTGAAACCCAGTATGTTAGTGCTCATCATTCTTTCAAGAGTTTCTATATGCCAGGTGATTCTTCTTCATTAGTCCTCGCATTGTAGGATTAACCTAGTTCTTTTATGTCTTTACATAGATGCTCGAATATATACCTTCGCTATATGGATGAACTTATAAAAATACTGTTTCATTTAATATAGCTGTACATAGTGTTGCCATTCAGTATAGTTGTCTTCATCCTTGGGAGATAACAAATCAAATATCAAATGAAATGAGTAACAATGTGAATTCAAATGTCAAATGGTTAACTCATTTGACATGTTTGGAAAATCATCTAGCTATATTCTTTTATCTAGTACATATAATCTTGCTAATTTCTCAACAGCATAAAAGAACTTTCATTGAAAGCGTACCTTCCAGAATAATAGTTTTCCTTGTCGCTTGCTTAGTCTCGTCCCGCAAGTGACTATGTATATCTGTACCGGTTTTTTTTTCCACGTTTGTTATCTCTAATCATGCTCCATTTATTTAGTTTAAATACCCAAGATGACTTTTGTTGCTAATTCTATGAGTTTTAGCACGTTTTATATGATGAGTATACATGAGATAAATTATATACCGTGTATTGCTTTCATATGAGCTAAATTTCTCATTATGAGGTAGCTATGTATAATGCTTTCAAGAATATCCCTTGCAAAATGCAACATATGTGGTTTTATCTGTTGCCACTTGCCAGTATGATTAGCGGGCTATAAAACATAAATACAAAAGTGAGTTGTTTTTCTTATATTTGCCCATTCATCTATGTAACAGAATCACTGTTGCCTTCTCATATGCATTTATCTTTTTCCTGGAATGTTATTAATGCATGCCTCACGCTTGTAGGCACCACCATTGTTAGTGGATGTGATGGAGCTGAAATGTTGCGCCATACATAGGATGACTTTCTGGTTTTATGTGCTGAAATGGTTCACCAGGTAAGAAGATCTTTTGAATATACTTTGTGAGATTTGAACTGTTTGATTTTCTCTTTGGAAAATATCTGGCGGACACTGGTTAGTATGCATCCTCAAACTACTCTCCATTTAGCTATAGTGATTCACATATGGTAATAACACAGACAAGCAATTAAAATCGTGGTGATGCAAGAAAAGTGACTCCCTTTTGACCATTAATGATATCCAGATGATTCAAATGTTGTACACCTGAAGTTCTCTCTTGGTTCAGCTGTTCCAGAATCTATAGGTTGACAACAATATGTTACTAGCTCATTTTGTCATTACAAACACCAGTCATATAATTCAACGTCAACCAACAAATTCATGTGTAAAGGCTGAAGGTTTATTTTGTTGTCTTCATATTCCTAGGAGATATAGCCAGTAATATGATGATACATCTTTTTATTAGCAGATACTCCCTCCATTCCTTGATATAAGGTGTATAGATTTTTGAGAAAAAAAACCGTATATGGTGCATTGCGTCGCACCATTCGTTTGGATAAGTTTTTTAGGGATTTGATTACATCTACTTATATTATGCCAGCTCCTCTATTTTATCATGTCAATTAGTCAAGTGTAATCTCGCCCAAAACCTATGAAATTTTCACCATATGTGCTTTCTTTAATTTCCGTGCCAAAAACTATACACCCTATATTTAGCACATGCATAGCTGATCATGAGTTTGGACATGCATCTTTTTCATATACTATGTTACATAGGTGCTTCTGTTAAATTTTATCTTTATTTGTACTGGTTTATGTGGAGATTAATTCTTTTGTGTTCTCCAGGGTGAAGAAAGGGCTGCTGCAGTTTTTTATTATCAATGAGTTTGTCGTGCATCAACGTGGTCGGCAGCATTATGTTATCTGAAGAAAACTTACCAAGTGTGCACTTTAGTGTAGCTAAGTTTCTAATGTAGCAAGATGCTTTTGAATACCCTTGTATTATTTCAAGTCGGATTTCGTCGTGTGTTGCTTTATGCATGTGCTTGTGCGTGGCAGCTATTCTCTTTAGCCATGACAATTTCAGCCTCGTGTATCAGCAAAACGTGTGTGTTTGAGTGTGCTTCTCAGCTAGGGTTTGAAAAGCATGTGAGCACTGTCGATCTAATGCGATCATGATCCAGCCCTGCTTCCTCCTTTTTTTATGTGCCTTGAGACTAAGAGCAGAAAATCAACGAGAGAAGTCCAGCACCCTATGCCGACGGCCGCGGCCGTCGGCTTAGGCCCATCGCTGTCGGCCTAGATCTATGCCGATGGCCACCGTCGGCATATCCCCGTCGGTGTAAATAACGTCAGCGTACTTGTGTCAGGCCGTCGGCATAGAAAAGTCATCGGCATAGAAAAGCCGTCGGGATAGGCATATATGCCGACGGGGTCCGTATGTCCGTCGCCATAGAAACACCGTCGGCGTAGATTTTCACCTTGCCGGTGCCTCAAACACGCTGGCCAACCACGGGTTGCCGCGTGGCAATGGTATGCCGACGGCCAGGCCGTCGGCATACCACTGCCACATGGCAGCCGCTGGCTTCTCTTGGCGATAGTGGTATGCCGATGGCCAGGCCGTCGGCATACCACTGCCACGCGTCGGCCCCTGGCTTCTCTTGGGCAAGGCTATGCCGACGGCAAGGCCGTCGGCATAGTTCTGCTATGTTTTTTTATATTCTTTGTTTTGCTCATTTCATTCAAATTCACAGCAAATGCAGCACACAAATATGACAGATCACAACAACATCATCTCAAGATCATCATCATCATCATCATCTAAAGATCATCGTCATCATCTAAAGATCATCAAGATCATCATCGGCGAAACTTAATGAACGCAAGTATGAGACACGGACATCATCATCATCATCGTCATCTAAAGAACGGTAAATAAGAACTATGGAACATGAAAAGTATGGCACGACATGCACCAACACGGGTATCATTACCGACATCAGCCAAGATCGCCACCGGTAAAACCACCACCGCCAAGACCGCCACCTCCTTACCAGATCGGAGTGACGGGAGTCGAGCTCCCGGTCTCCTACATGTTTGAGAAGAGATTGTAATGGTAAATATGATATGATAGTGTTGAATGAAGAGATTGTAAGGGAAAACGTACTAACCGGAATCTCACTGCCTAGTGCCACCCATTCATCGAACGTGGGCACGTGTGGGGGTTCTCCAGCAGGTGGCGGTGCGGGTCGCATTTGTGGTGGATTAGTGAGGTTAGTCCAAGACGCTAACATAGCCTGGATGTTAGTTAAACAAGCAAACTAGAAGGTCAGAAGAAATGAAAGTGCAAATTTTAGCTTGGTTTTAAGAGGGCAAAACTAACCGCCATCATTTGACGGTTGTAATCATCGTTTGCCTTCACTCGTTGCAAGTACTCCCGCACTCAAGATTCCTATGCTCGACAAAGGCCTTATATGCCTACAAAATTTAGGTTGTTTCTAAGTGGGCAATGCTGAAAATAAACTGAGAAAGTTAGAGAGAAAGAAGACAAGGGGGAAGTACTTACAACATGCTGGCAGGCTAAGGGACGCTGCGAACGCCCCGTACTCTCTAATAGGCTCGGGTTGGTAGCCCGAAGCCGTGTGTACCAGACCGAAAGGAGTGATCAAGCCATCGAAACACGGGTACCGGCCATGGGACTTCGGATGGATGGCCGCCACCGCAGTGTCGTCTATCTGAGACTGGACGGCGTCAGGAGCATCCGGCCCAAGCGGATGCAACCTCTGAAACTGCTGAGTGTAAGACTCCAGGTGCTCCTCGGTCTTGCCGTGGTACTGGCTCTCGCCGGCCTTGCGATCACTCCGCTCATGGGCCATCTTCCACGAATCCATGTCTGAGAGCGGCCTCTTGAACTTGTCCTCCTGCAACGTCAAATAGAAGTTAGCCATACATAAGAACATGACGGTAAAAAGAAGAACCAAAATACATCATGCTTATAGATATACCTTCATGGCCTTGAAGCCCAGTGGTTCCTGTTTCCTTGACCGCGTGTCCCGTCTTTTCCACGGTTAGCCCGAGCCTTGCTGCTCTTGGCAGCAAACTCTGCATTGTTGCCAAGCCACCTATCCACCAAACTCGCCCATCCGTCATCCTTTGCATAGCACCAAGGAGGAATAACCTATGCAAAATTTGGAAGCATGACATGTGAGCACGAAACAATTAAATAGACTGCTTATATGTTGGAATGAAAAGTCAGTAATAGTTACCCTCATGAACTGCTCCCTGTTCAAGGTAAGTCGTTGCTTCCGCGCTTCAGTTTTGATCATCTTTTGATGAAGGTAGTAGTGCGAGACGACAACCCAGCGCACCTCGTACTGCAACTGACGAGCTTTCTTCTTCGCAGCCGCCAGCAAGACCACGTCGGCTCTGGCCTTGTGCTCGTCAAGAACTCTATAGAGTTCCTACAATCATGCATAAAACCAGAAGCAAACAAGGCATGAGTTGAGTGATTCAATGATAAACTATGAACAAGACTAAAGACAAGTGATTCAGAAGAGAACTTACCCAAAATTTGGTGATCATGGCCTTAGCGGTCGTCCCGTACTCCGCGTGGCTGGAAGCCTCGTAGTGGGCCCAACCCGTGGCCAAAACCCGCAGCTCCGAGTCCCTGTCCAGCCGCGGGCAGAATAGGCCCGGCCAAAACTCCTTCAACAGGACAGTGACAAGGCCATTCGGTTTACGACCCTTTCCATGAAGGATCCAGTTCCTGCAAAAGAATCAAAGAATTGTCATGTGTAAAATAAGAAAATGTTATCATGTGTTGAAAATATGATTGAGAGGCACTTACACTATCCCCACAGGTTCAATGAGCCACTTGTGCACCTCGATAGAAGGTGGTGTAGGTACTCCGACAATACCACACAGCCACCCCTTCGGAGCACACGATGGTAAGTCACCCCACAACTCGGGGTCAACCTCCCCTCCACCACCCTCCTTGCCCTCCTCCTCCTCACCCTCCTCCTCGCACCCCTCCTCCTTGGCCTCCTCCTCCTCGCCCTCCTCCTCCTCACCATCAGGAACATACTCCTCCTCCTCAGACTCAGAAGGTGCCTCAGTATAGGAGGGCATTGAAGAAGACCCCCTATTTTCGGATAGGGCCCGGAGTTTTTTTGACCAGGGTGCCTCTCCCCCCACCTCCTCCTCCTCTAGGGGCTCTCCCCCCACCCCCCTCCTCCTTTAGGGTCTCCTCCCCCTACCCCTCGACCTCCCTGTGAGGTGTCATCATCGCATAGTCGGGGAGGGGGGGACCTTGTGGGCTCGTGCACTCTGAGTAAGTGATTTGAATTTGTTGAGGAAACCGGCGCCGCTGGACTTGCCCATGATTAGCAAACCTGCATTGACAAGAGAATAAACAACTAGTAAGGATATAAAATAAACAAGCATATAGAAAAGAACATTAATAACAGAAGAGCACATTAAGCATACATAAAAGAACATTAATAACAGAAGAGCAGAGTAAGCATACTATTGTAATCTACCTCAAAACATTTTTTTCCTTTCCCTTTGCCCTCGCCCTCGCCCCCGTCTTCGCCTGTGGCGTTGGCTTTGGCTTTGCCTTTCCCTTCGCTGGCAGGCTTAAGAGCTTTCAGCTGAGCAAGCACATCCGCACCAGAAAACGTTGGAATCTTGTTTACTTCATGGACGACTAGGCCTTTTGTGAAGTTCTTCTTGTCTTCCCTATCAGGATGGTCTGGAGGGAGGAACTGTCGATGCAGGTCAAAGGCAACATACTTTCCACCCTTCTTTAGCCAAATGAAACGCAAGCCTGCATGCACACTAGGCAAGGCATCTTCCCACTTGTACACCATCCGCAGAATAGGGCATAGCCGGGAAAGTCATGCATGTAATACTGTAGCCAAACTTTCATCTAGAAATTTTTCTGCAGATGCCGGTCGTATGTCAACCTCGGGAAGTATGAAGAATGGTGCAAATCATCC